TTCTGGGAGATATAATTTTGGTTAAAATTTCATAGATTAAGTCGTAGGGTAACCTGACCATATATTTTTATGAGATTAATGGTTATTATTTTCAAGATATGACTAGTACAGAGCCCGTGCGATGCACGGGGCGCACAATTTTAAGGCTATTTATTAAGACTTATAATTATATACATGAATACAGAAAAATGTACGGGATATATATAGCACGTGACCCGTGCGAGGCACGGGATATATTTATTTGAGGAATACTATATTATAAGATGCAATATTCAATAAAAGTTTTATAATACGCAGGAAAATTATACAATAAGATAGTATTCGACAAACAAACAATCATATATTATTAAAGACCACCTTGTACACAACATTATGAGTTTGATTTTCCATACAATAATAATAAGATTTTTTGTAAAAAGATAAGAAGGAATTTTCAATCTACACAAACTTTAAACATTAGATGTGTTTACGTAAATCAATGACTATATAGACAACTAAACTCTTCAATTTAGGCTTCACATCTACTTTATTTATGGGTGACGTAAAATAAGGATTTAATTTTGACCGATTAAATCTTTATTCATAGGCTTGACATATAAAACTGATTTGATGGGATTTTCTTAACTAAAGCGATGCTATGGGATAAAACAAATCTATACTTACCTTTGACTTTTCCAGCAAAGGTAAAAAAATCGGTTCTGATTTTTATCCCATAACAAATCTTTAGAGGATGCTTGGATAAAAAATTTATCCAAAAAAATCCAAACACTTTTAACTCAACCATTTTTTTTAACTCAACTTTAACTCAACCCAACTAATATTAATATTATTAATATAATTAAATAATATCAACCAATCATTCTTACACATCACATCAACCTTAATTCACTATTCATCCTCTCACATAATTTTAACTAACCATCACTTCAAATCATTTCTCTCATACTTTTACATTAAATCAATTTTAATTATTTTATTTTTAATATTATTTTAATATACCACTAACAACTAACCATACCACTTTTTTCAAAATTAACCAAACCAAACCAAAAAAATCCAAACAAATCCAAAAATTTTTATATCCAAGCATCCTCTTAATGTCAAGCCTATAAATACCAAAACAAATCTGTAATTAGTATCATTCTATTTCCAGCAAGCATTAATTACCTTTGACTTTTCTGCCTACTATTTCTAGTAAATAGGATGACTTTTTATATAAGTACAGATTTCATATAATGCAAAGACTGATATCATAAAAAAGAATCCTAAAAACTGAAATAATATATTTGCATAAATTAAGGCCATTAAGAAATCAATCTCTAAACCAGATTTGATTTTCAGAATATGTTTTTTCATTTCGAATTCCATACAAAATGGAATTCGTTCCAACCAATAGATGTCATAGCAAATATTAACTCTTAACTATTAGACTATTAGTACATACCGAGCAAATTGTGTACTGATTTTAGAAAGTTAAAATGATTCATGTTAGGTAATTTTACATTTTATGCATGTTGAACGGTGGGTTTTAAATATTGTTTCATAGAATGTAAAAGTGTATTATATTATTTTTATGAGATGTTGAATTTGAAAATTAATAGAATTCTTCTTCATAGGAATTTTAAATGTAACAATATTCTTTGGTATACACTACTAATAAAATCTATATTTAAAGTTTACATTTTTTTTACCGGAAAGAATTCCTTAATTTAAGGAATCATATATCTTCAATCAGTCCACATCTATATACATTCTTCACAATTTTAAATCTTGATGAGAATTCGTATCTATGAGTGCAAAATATGGTTTAACAAATTAATTTTTTATTATTATTCCAGCCATACTTCTTTATACGATTTTTTGTGAAAATACAAAAGTAAATTCTTAATTTTAAATCAGCCGTACATTAAAGAGTACAAATTTATTGAAATTACAAAAATAGTTTTTTACTTTTAAGCAGACGTAAATTTAAATCAGTTATAAAAAAGTAATATTTGTTTACCATTTAAATATTAAATCAACCGTAATTAATGTTGTTTGTTTTAGTTGCCATGATTTTCTCCAAACTAAATTAACAACTGCCATGATTTAAGGGCAACATTTAATGTTGCTCTATTTTTAGGAGACATTAAATGTATTTGGCGGGAAAAACTTGCTAAAAGTGTTAAATGGTTAATCTTTTAATATAATGATAGATTTTGAAATCAAAATCGGTTTTCGACTTGCTTTTCATTTTGTTGTGTGTTTGACTTGGTCAATCCTTAGATGGATTTATGTGAGCTCCCATATGTGGTTTGGTCGAGTATGGTGCTGAGTCTTAGTGTTCCAACGTCCACAGGACTTCACGAACTACTTAGTCGAAACAAGTTCGACTAGGTTTGATTTGTGTTTTCTGTTTAAGTCAAGATATTGATTGTAGGATCTTGACATAATGTAGGTGTTTGAGGAGTCAAACCTCGACCCACATCTTTTCTGAATTGTTGTCATCAATCCAAAATTTCCAGGTGGGTTGTTATTCTAAAATTATCTGTGCAATGTGTGTTTAAATATGTGTTTCCGTTTTGGCGTGATTTATGTATGAACGTGAATATGTAGCCTATCGATGTGAGCTATTATGATGGCCATCGGTACGGTTGTCCCCGTCGATGTAATACGGTTGCCTTATGAGGCAAGTCTCCTTAAGACTTATTATGAAAGGCCGTGTCCTTGCGTGGCACGTATTCTCGCCGTTAGGGTAATGAATCCCCTTTCCGCGACTATTATGAAAGATGTGCACAGGAGTATTTATGTTTATGTTGGAGATGTGACATATGTGATATTGTTTATGTTCATGCTGCGACCATGCCTATTTAACATATTACTAAATGTGCATTGCATAGTGTGAGTACGATATTTAACTGTACTCACTCCCACCTGCTCGTAACTGATGCAGGTTAAGCAGTGGCGCGTGACGAGACAAGACGGTGGTGGTCATTGCTTATTATGCTTATTTAATTGCTTCCACTTATTCATGAACTATGTTGGTATTGAACTTGTTAGGATTGGATTTGGAACTTGTTCATTTTGGAAAACGTTTGGATTTGGTTTATGTTGGTAAAACCCTTCTTGATATATGATTGAGAATATCCTGATGTTTATGTTTATGTTATGTGGTTAATGAAAACCGTTGGAAAATCGGGTAATGAATCCCCGTAGTTCAGTTATGACTTGACTTGTGTTTTGAAAAGAATGAGTAACGCCAAAAGTTTATGATTCAAAAAATAAGTTTCGAAAATTTTACCTTGATTTTTGGAAAAGCCATGGATTTTCTTTAAAAATCGATTGGGGCGTTACAATGACCTTGAAACTTCTGAAAACTTTTTGAGAAAAAGACAAGTCCTTTGTAGCAGCTAAAAGACTATATTTTTTCCACAGATGACACCAATTTGATATGCAAATTGCATTCAAATCGAATTTAGACCGCTGCAACCATGAACCACTTCTTGTCTTGAGCTCTGGCCTGCAAAACACGCTCGGGAGAGGTCCTAGCGGAAAACATCTAACACTCAAGTTATCTCGCGCAGGAATATGCTCAAAATTGTATAATAAGGGCGTAAATTTGTGTTATGTAAAATAGAACCTGGTAACCCCTTTTATACTCAGGTTATCTTCTTGCTCATGTAGACTCCTTACTACGAAAGAGATCCCACCGTATCTCCTATAATAGAATAATATGTCTCTAAGGTATTAGACTACTTAGCGAGATACACTTAATATCCTTACCAGAATTATATTCCTTCTCACAGCACGACTCTTATCGTAGGTGCTCGGAACCACAACCTTTACCTCTATGACCTCAAAGTCGTACTGACCCCTCTCTTGATTCCTTCATTCAGGTCGATCTGTACCTTGAGCTACTCTAACGAACTCCCTTACTAGGTCGAGCCCTGACACCGAGTTGAACTCTCTCAAGCTGGTCATACACGAGCTAACCGCTTACATTCACCGAGTTATTAAAGGTGGTATATCACAACCATGAAAGTTCTCAATTACTGCTATTATTAAACAATCACATGGGCAACTTCATACCAGATAAAAAATATAAAAATAGAAAAAAAATAAAAAAATAGCACCCTCAGAGCATAGCTTGCTGGTAGCATGACCGTCTTTTGTGGGTCTGAATGCTCTACGTAGGGGGATCAAACACAAAAAGGATGGAACCCTCAACAACTTTTTCCTCCCTTGAAAAAAAAGGAAATAGACTGGTAATCACCTCTGTGTCGTTAGATTTTCTGGCGCTAAAGTATAATGGCTGGTGGTACGGCTGACAGTAGGGCACATTCCGTAGTTTACTTTCGACTTAGCCGAGGACAACTATAAGGGTCCAGAACTGACAAAGGTAAGTATTGAACATGAGTTAAAAAAATAGCAAAACAAAAGTATGAAGGCACACAAGATAAAGAGGAAAAAACGGCCATTAGAGGATGATTGGATATAAAAAATTTTGGTTTTGTTTGGATTTTTTTTGTTTGGTTTGGTTAATTTTGAAAAAGTTGGTATGGTTAGTTGTTAGTGGGTATATTAGAATAATATTTAAAATAAAATGATTAAAGTTGATTTGATGTAAAGTAGGAGAGAAAAGATTTGAAGTGATGTTTAGTTAAAATTATGTGAGTGAATGAATAGTGAATTAAGGTAAGGTGGTGTGTAAGAATGATTGATTGATATTATTTAATTATATTGATAATATTGATGACAGTGAGGTTGAGTTAAAGTTGAGTTAAAAAAAAATGGTTGAGTTAAAAATGTTTGGATTTTTTTGAGAAATTTTGTATCCAAACATGCTGGGAATTTTAAATTTTAAAAGTGATTGAGTTAAAAAAAAAAATGGTTGATGTTAGGAATTTTAAATTTAACCACTTTTTTAACTGTTAGCATGAAAAATGAGTAAATTAACTTCATTTTCACGAAAGATTTATGCTTTCAGTCGCTGCATTTTCATTGGCTAATAACTGCGGTGCGCTGGCCCTCTTGTCATCCGCAATCTTTTCACGCTTATCATCATATCCTCTTCCCATAAATATTCATCAGTCAGTCACCCAAACCTTTCCAAATACGGATATTATTAATTTATAAAAATTATTGTGCTTTTCCCTTTTGTTTTAACCATTGGATATATATATTGGGAGGTCTGCGTCTGCCCCCACTTGACTTGATGGCCATCTCGATCTAATTTTCTATTCTCTAGGCCATTCTGGGCATGTCCCTTCTTCCTCATTCATCCAATTTGTGTGCTTCCATTGCCTTCTTTGAGCTTTTACCCTTCTATTTGTTCGTTTTTCTTCCTGGAAGATGCCAATGGAGTGCAACTCAAATGATCGCCTAACTTTCGGGAAGATGGGTTATGGGTATGTATCTCTGTTTTCTGTAATAGTACTATCTATATTCAAGCATTTTTTTTTTTTTTTGGTGAAAAATGTGTGTTTCCAAGTTTCTTGGTAGATGGGCTCTGTTTGTTTCTTGATGTTTCCGATTTTGCTATTTTTGTGCTGGGTCTGCTGCTGCTGCCGTGTGATGGGCCTTTTCTTGTGTGGCTTGTAGTGTTATTTCTGCAGAAAAGCTTGAATCTTTATGTCAAAGCTGTGGTATTTGTGGTGTTGCAATAATCAAAGAGTTGAAACTGTTGTGAAGTCTTGTGATGTGGGCAAAATCTTTTCAGCTTTTTTGCTTGTCTATAGGCTGCAACCCTCTTTAGATCTTTAATTGAAATCTGGTTTGTAGTCTTTGAGTTGGTGGGCATGGTTTGTTTTCCTTGATTATTCTTTTGTTGATTTACTATTTCGTAGAAGTTTTTGGACAAAATCTGTGATGCTTCGATGGTTTGTAATTGGGAGAAAGCTTGAGTAATCCGATTGCAACGTCGTTATTCTGATTGGACTCATGTATGTTTGTAATAATCTAATAAGTTCAAAAAGTTAGTACTTATGACTGGCAAACCTCTACAAGTTTCTAATTCATTCACATTAACTCCTTTGGGAAAATAATTTTTCTGTGGATGATTTGTTAAATGAAAATCCACTTTTATTGGCTGTTTAGATATCATTTGCAAGTTGAGTTGATAATTGGTTTGGTACAAATTCCAAGTATCTTAACTTTCACATTCATATCTGTAACTTGAATTAGTTGCAAGCACTATAGAAGGAGGTGCAAGATTAGAGCTCCATGCTGTAATGAAGTTTATGATTGTCGACACTGTCACAACGAAGCCGCGGTATTTTTATACTTCTAATTTCTTACAATCTGAATGTACTAATGTTCCATTTGGCCTTTAATCATCAAAATGAATAAATAAATAAATAAATAAATAAAATTCTGCTACTAAAACCTTGTTTTCTTTTCTGGGGACTTTGCCAAATCAACAGAATATGCTTCGTAACATTTATGATCGGCATGAGTTGATCCGGAGTGAGGTGAAACAAGTATGTCTCTTGTGAAAATGTATTCTTCCTTGCTTAACTTAAAATTTTCTTCATTTTAGTTGTTCTCAAATATCTATTCTGATTACCATTTGTACATGTTTTGCAGGTTATCTGTTCTGTTTGTGACACTGAGCAGCCTGTATGTGCTCTTGACCTTTTTTTTATTCCTGAATGATATTTGTTACAGATTTTCATTACCCATTTCTTGCCTTTTGTTTCCCTAAAGATTCCTACTAACTGTCTTGTTCATATCGGTCTATTTTCTCCTTATCCAGGTTGCGCGTGTTTGTACAAATTGTGGTGTCAATATGGGGGAATATTTTTGCAGCGTCTGTAAATTTTACGATGATGACGTAATTTCCCTTGTGCTAAACTGAAATTATTTATTCTAACCTGTTCTGCTATGTCCTCAGTTTCTAAACAGTTCAAAACAAATAAAAATTGTCTAGGATAAGGTTAACAGTCATTATGGGCTCTTGTTTGGTGCAGGTTGACAAAGGGCAGTTTCACTGTGATGACTGTGGAATTTGCAGGTTGGTTGAAAATATTAATAATAATACACTTTCCTTCTTTATTTTATTTTATTTTTTTTCTGTTATCCTCATGTTTTGATAGCTTAGTTGGTTTTTTGCTTTAGGACTGGAGGCCGTGAGAACTTCTTCCACTGCAAGAAATGCAGTATGTAAAAGCTCTGTAGCTATACTTTTATAAGGCTTACTTTTAAAAGTATTCAGTTTTGGTTTACACAATGTAGGGTAACTTTGTTATAAATTTAATTTTTAATGTGATAAAGCTGAATCATTCTCAAGGATTTTGTTTATAGTTTATATCTTGTATTACACTTTTCTGTGCGCTTCCTGTTTATAAATTTAACTATTGTGGTTAATCATCGTTTTAACTACTCTTTAATATTCATTACACAGGCTCATGTTATTCAGTTAGTTTGCGCAACAATCACCTTTGTGTGGAGAACTCAATGAGACATCACTGCCCAATTTGTTACGAGGTTTCACCTTTTGCTTATTTTCACTTTCTCCCATAAAATGTTACTCTTACATGTCTGAACACTCTGCATTTGTTGCATTTTACAGTATTTGTTCGACTCTCTGAAGGACACAACCGTCCTAAAGTGCGGTCACACGATGCATTGTGAATGTTATTATGAGCTGATAAAGCGTGAGAAGTAATGAGCTAATATGAATCTCCCAACAATAACTTTTTACTAGTAAATAGGAAAATCAAAGTATTTTTTGTAGTCTTTTTTTTTTCTTTTTTTTTTTCTTTTGTAGTTACTGTTGTGTTGTGTGCAAATTTACAGGTACTGTTGTCCAATATGTTCCAAGTCGATCATGGACATGACGGGGACTTGGAAGAGAATAGATGAAGAGGTAAATGCTATTGGTTTGGACTTTAAAATTTTTATTATTAATAAATTGTAAAATTTGCGACTGGAAAACTGGTTAAATAATGTCTTTCCTGAAAATGTTAAATCTTGTCTTTGTTTTATTATTATTAGCCTATGAGGCAAGACCTTGATGCGCAAATCCATGAGTTTAAATTTCTATCTCTATGTATTTGGGATTTGAAAGTGTTTGTGAAAGTTCATTTTACTTTCAACTTCAACAGTTCAATGTATTTAGCTACTTAGGCCACACTGTAAAGATAAAAAAGATTGGTGATAAATAGGCGACTAAGAGGCAGTTTGGAGTATTTTCGAGTCTTTTCGTATTTATTGGAAATATTGTGCTAGCTAGCTATTGGCAAGTTTTTGCTTCAATGACAATACTTTTTATGTTGTGTCTTTTGATCATTGGTTTATATCATAGTTATTCAGGATATTCATGTTATTTAACAATCACGTACAAGGTTTATCTTAGTCAATAGCTTGCAGTTTGTAAGTTTTGTTTGAATTTCAAAAGGTTCTGATTTTTGTTGTAACAAATGTCATGTTTTGCACAGATTGAAGCAACTGTGATGCCAGATGAATACAGATACAAGAAGGTGACTGTAAATTTACAGATTANTGTAAAACCATTTTTTTGGTGTTCCTTTTTTTCTTTTCTTCAGGTGTGGATTCTTTGCAACGACTGCAATGATACTACAGAAGTTTATTTCCACATAATCGGTCAGAAATGCAGCCATTGCGGATCGTATAATACTCGGACTATTGCTCCTCCTGTTCTTCCTCAATGAGCAGTTGATATTTGTTTTTTAATTTTTTGGGCTGTTGCACTGCAGAACTGGTGCTGGAGTCCTAAAAACTATCAAGGGACCTTTTGTGGCATTATTTATCAACCATTAATGTGTGTGTTTGGACTTTAGCAGGCACTACAATATTACTGTATTACATTTGTAACGACAGTGTTAGTTGCCAAGTTTTATTCTGAGCGCTAACCGGCAAACCGAAAAGCCAAGGCAAACCAATAAATTTGGTGTGTTTTTGTTTTTTAATGTTAGATTGGTTTTATTTGTCAATGAAATCATTTTATTCAGATAAATATTTATGTGATTTAGTAAACAGAATAGAAGTTTCATCATGCTAAATTTGTAGAGTGGTATCTATTTTATTTTTTTTATTATAAATGGGATATTCAAAATGTTGGACAATTCCTGGATTAATTAGAAGGATTTTGTAGATTCAATGAGGGTTTGATAGAAGAACTTTTTAAGTTTCAAAAATTGAAGATACGGAGCATGAAATAGAAGTTCAATTATTGGGGGAAAGATATCAATTTGTATCTATTACTATATAATAGAGTTANATCCCGCCAATGTCATTTTGTTGTGCGGATGAACTTTTTTCAAATCTTTTGGATGCGATTACGAGAATTCTATTCCATATTTAATTATACAGTGTTTGTTTTTATTCAATCTCTAAAAAACGTGTAGGTTCATTTCCCATATTTAATGGCTAATGCTTGTTGAATTCAATCTCAACATATATTGCGTAGATTTTCCCAAATCCATTCAATTGTTTAAAACTTTAAATTGGTTGGCAATATCCAATTTTGTATAACAAACCATCCGGTTAATCATTTATTTATAATTTTCCAAATTCAAGAAAAATCGGCCATTTTATTTTAATATTTTCGAATTAATCGTTTGAAACATGATTTCAAAATATCTGCCAATTTGCACATATATCTGCCACTCGACAACTTAAATGAAAAAAATATTTTCAACGATATCGACCAACACCTCAAACAATTAAAAATATAATAAAACATTCCTAAAACAATAGGATTCAATCTATAGTTAATAATACAACAGGATTATATCTCCACGAGCATATTTTCGAATTCAATAAATCACATCACATTTGTAAATAAAATAAAACGATTTTAAATAATGGGATTCATTAATCATTGGAAATAAAATAAAACAATTTCCGATTTTCAATTTTATTTAACATTGTATTTGCACAATACGTTTTTTAAACAATTGGGTTCATTAATAGATAATTGAATAATACCACCTATCCTAGCGAGTTTTAGGAAGTTCTGAGTAAGGCTTGAACAGGTCCCCGAAAACTTGATCGCATTTTTGTTCTATATAATATGAATTCTTTATATGATCTATTACTGTATTATAGCAATAAGGAAACATCTAAAAAAAACATGAAGATTCCCGTCAAAAAATTTCGTTTTAACTACTATTGGTATTTTTTTCAAAACTTTCATTAATCCCGTCTTTGACAAGTTTTTTTAATTTTAAAAAAAAAAAGTCAATGTGTAAAATCCGGCCAAATCAACTAAATTAGGATAATAAGTTTGAAAATTTGTGCAAATCTCCTTAGAATTTGGAAAATTATTTTGTCCATATTTATCTAACTAAACAAAATTTTTAAAGTTTGTAGAGAATCTCAAAGTGATTAATATTTGTTTGTCCATATTTAACTAATAAAATGATATATAAAAAAATTGAAAAGAATCCCCCATTTATATCAGTTGATCTTTGAATTTACATATTTTTTTGTTCAATTAGAAATCATTATCATTATCCTTAATTAAGAAAAATTATTTTTCACAATTGTTTATTGCTGAAAAAATTCCTTAGTTATCCCAAAAGATCCGCATTCTTAATATGATTTTTTTTTATCCTAAAAACGTTGTAAATTATTAAAAAAAGTATATGATATCCTTAAAATTCTGATTAATTTTTATTTTGAAATATTCTCTTGATTATGCATTTGTTAGTTGGTAACTCATATCTTTTCTTTTTAAATAAGATAATGTTGTTCAAACTTTCAATCCAAATCTTCCAGAAGTCAATAAATTTAGTTTAAAAGAATTACTTTCCAATTGGTATTTAACTAAATTTATTTGTCAAAAATTAATTTAATATAAAATACTAAAAAGTATCTAGCTATCAGTATATAAAAAGGTGAAAGAATTACCAAAAATAATATATATACAACTTTAAATTTTGGTTTTTAATAATGTTAGATTTAAAAAAAATCATAAATTATCGCCCAAAGCACATTTGCTGACTTTTAAAAGAATAAATTTGAAAAGCAAATCAGCTATGTTGTTTAAATTAGTCAATATTTATTTGTCCATATGTATCTAACAACAAACTCTTTTGAAAGTTTGGAAACACTCTCATATTATATTATGTGGATTCTTTCTATTATTTGATTTACATAAAAATGAAAAATTCCGTGAAGGAGTGTAATCTTATATCCTTAAAATATTTAAATGAAATATTGTCGCATTATGAAAATTGTACATAAAAGTAAAAGACGCAGTATGTCGGAATGTGATTGCAAATAAAGGCAAATACTTTTAACATAGAATATTATGGCATTTTAATATAGAAATGTTCCTTATTAGGCTTAATATATTTAATACTCTAATAAAATCACACATATACATATATATGAAATAGTGCTGGAAGGTGTCTCGACGTGGAGACTGCAACGGTCAAGTCAATATGTAGATGTGGAAGATGATGAATAATAACTGTATAACTTGTATTTATATAAAAGACAATTTGGATAATCATACCTCACCCCTTTATGTAAGGGTATTACTTTGTTGTCCAAGATTGCCTAGTTGGGTTTCCCAATTGCCCGAGCTACCCGTGCCCGATTCTGTTAGGCCACGTGGTCTTATCCACGTCTGATTTTTATCCTGTGATATTCTTTTTTTTCAATTAAGTAGGGTGTTCAAATTCGTCTACCATATTAGGCAGTCTAATTTTGCGGCCGGCTTGACTTCCTTTTAGCTGAATTGCCTCTACCTCCAACCCGTGCACTATGTCTCTTAGGTTGGGCCATCGACCTGTTTGCCTCTAGGTCAAGTTTCTACTAAGCCAACCGAGGGCCTTAGCTCAACTTGTTGGTTAGCTCATGTATCTATGAAGTCACCATCGACCTGGCGATCTTTCGACCTCTAGTATCCTCGATTTTTGGCTGACCTAACGGTCCACTTGGTTCAACCAAACCGCTCTTTGGGTCGTACTCAACCTAGTATGAATATCAAGCTCAATTTTCCTTGAGCTAGAGCCCTAACTCGTACCTCGACCTTTAGACTTTCAGGTCGAGTTTCTGTCAAGCTAGCCAAGAGTCTTAGCTCGACCTGTTGGCGGGCTATCTCACCTGTAGGGTCACCATCGACCTAATGTTTCCTCGACCTTTGACGTCCTCGTTATTTGACACAGTTTATCCGATTCGTTCGAACCGTTGTTTAGATAGCACACGTGTATCCTATATCGAAGGCCAATCTAATGGAGAATTGAAGCAAAGGAGCAATAGTATATAGTTATTTGTTGACATAATGGGGGAGTGAATTTACAAAATGTTGTTACCTAAAATAGTTAATTTTTCGATAGAATAGGGAGTGGAAAAACTAGGATCCATTTTCCCATTGTTTAGGTCAAAGGCATCAACACATATCACTCATCTCTAACAATGTAATAGATGACAACGCCATTTGTTACTCTCTTACCAATCCAAAAAAGCTATAAATAGACCAACTTCCCTTGTCATTCACACTCAACTTTTGTTTTCATTCAAGAATTTATTCCCTCTTAACTTCTCCAAGGTTATAAAGAAAAGATGTCGAGCGCTCAATTCAATGCTGGACAAACTCACGGCCAAGCACAGGTACATTACAAAATATTATGTTTTATTTAGTCCAATATAAAAACCATGTTAGATGGTGGTTCAAATTTGTGATAAGATTTTGTTTTAGACAAAAATACGAATTTAAGGATGACTACATTACAGATTTTGTTTTATTACAGATGATATGCAAAATTCAATAATCATTTAAAAAAAAAAAAGGAAAAACAATTAACCTATAGAATTTAATTATGAACATCCATTAGTTACACATGAATACGATCATATATTTTTTATTGTTAGCATCGCACCAATATTGAGAACAGTACATGAGAGAGTAAAATATTGAAATATAATTACATTAAATGTTTGATTGTTTATATGCGATTATCTTTTTTAATGAAGAAACAAAAAATACAAAGATAAACAAAACTATTAATTGTTGCATGTGTGTATATTGGGCAGGGTAAGACTGAGCAGTGGGTTGAGTCCGCTAAGAACACTGCAAATCAGGCCCATGACAAAGCCTGTGAAGCTGCCGGCGAAACCCAAGGCCAGGCCCAACGTAGCAAGGAGGAAACAGCTGGATTCTTTCAGCAGGTTATTTATTTATTTAATTAATTAATTTTATTCGGAAATAAACTATTTTCTCTTTATTTGGTCTTTGATTTAATTTATGTTATTACAATTAGATATTAACTCATTTATTTTATTTATTTAATATGTTAAATTGCAGACGGGAGAACAAATGGCCCATATGGCTCAGGGTGCAATTGATGGTGTGAAGAATACTCTTGGCATGAATGACAAGAAGTGAAATGGTTTCTCGAGTTTTAGTATGACTTAATTTGGTCTTTTGATTTAGTTGAGAGTTTTAATGTCCTTTTGAATAAGAGCATTTGACCAAGAATGTCCAAATAATGATATTCACCTTTTAGAATAATATTTTGCTGAGATTTTGTACTATGGTACTGAAGTTCCATCAATGTTAGTGAACTGAAATAAAAAAAAATATATCATTTACATGTGAAAACATTTGAAGTGATGTGCATTTTCAAATTTTATTATAAAATTTGATTCTTATTACACAACACAAAACAATTGTATTGCGACGCAGCCAAAAGCGTCGAAAAGCTTAACGATGAACGAGCAACGAACGCAAATATTTATAAAGAGCATAAATGGCTCAAAACAAGAATATAAATTTACAATCTTATTCAGAATTCAATCAACTTAAAAATGTGATGCGCAAGCAGAGATATTTAAGATAAATCACTATATTCAAGATCATCGGTGTTTCATCTTTGTGTCACTTGGTTGCTCGGCTTTGCTTGAAAATAGAATCTTGCAGACAGAGGTTTAGATTCCCTATTTTTCCTATTGAATCTTCTCAAACAGATGTATCCTGTTTTCATAGTGTGCAATATATAATATTTAATTTGTGTTAAAATCTGAAACTTGTCTTGTTTGTCTTATTGTCAAATAATCTCCTTTTACAGATTTCATAATTACTTTTTGAGTGTGAATCGCATACCTTCCCGGAAGCATTTCCGAACTTCGTGAGCTTTCATACCTGCTTCAAATTGAAACATTACTTGCTGACAATCTCAACAAATTAATTATCACATTTTTTTTTTATTAGTATCCAATTTTCACCTTTGCATATTGTCGATACATCATTTCCACAATACAGAGTCGTGCATGGAAGATTTGAAATGGACGCCTTCGAAACTTTAATGGGAAATTCACAGGACTCGTCATCAGCAAAGACCTGCTCAAATAGATGATTTCAAAATAGATGCTTAATTAACTAAACACAACAGAATAATAATAATAATAATAAGTATTCACCTCGTTCGCCTGAAAATATGTTCCATTAAGTGGAAACTTTCCCCTCATCGCTGTTCGAGCTGGTAACTGAACATAAGTCAATTTTCATTTTTTCAGTGATTATTCATGCAAATAATTAAATATAGAAGAAATCAACATTGCAAATTTCTCTCACCACAAGTGTTCCATAGACTGTGTCTTCCTTGTCGGGATTTTCTGAATCACAATAAAATTAATATCATTGCAAGTGAAACAAAATGGAGATGGGTACTAAATACTAATGTAATGTTACCGTTAGGCCAAATGGCAAGTAGATATGGACATGAGTCATCAAATACTCTTTTCTCTAGCTGCAGTAGTATATCATCGAATCTAGTTAATTTCGCTATTTTTTTTCATTGGAATTTACTAAACAAAAGTTACCATCTATTTATTATTAAAGAACAACCTTAGCCAAAACGCAGTGCGAGTCCGGGAGCTCATAACTGCAACAAGTTGTCACAAAAAAGAAAAAAAAAAGGAAAATAAAGAACTAAATAAATAATGTAACTAATCAAAATGGAAGCAAAATAAAGAAAACACATTCTTACTTTTTTTTTTTAGTAGATACAGAGAATAAAAAATGGATTAACTCACACTCGATGCTCAGTCCTTAAGTAGACCGCATTCTTCAATTTATTAGACACCGGCACATAAACAGAGGATTTCGTGTTGAGAAACATTAATGCCTTTGATATTTCTCCTTCTTGGGCAGACTTCTCTATATTCTCATCTGCTTTAATTTCAGATATTTTCTCGATACCAAAGTCCTCAAGGTCCCATACAAGAGCTTCATGTGATTTCAGTTTGCCTGACCCTTGTGGCCTTTTGGGGAAAACACACTGAATTGGGAGCATAGCTTTTTCATTGACGGTCGAGCTTTCACCTCTATCTTCAAATATATTGCTCGAGTGACGAGCACTGCATATTTTTTTGTCCTTCAGTGTTTTCATTCATATACTTGTTAATTAATATAATAAATGTTAAGGTAATGTATTTGTACCTTGCATAGTGCCTACATTCTGCTTTCATGGGGCAAGCATTGCAGTTTGGGTTTTTCTTTGTGCAGAAAACCTGAGTGTAATTAAATGTTATTATAAGATGCCTTCTATTTATTTTTCGTCGCATTTAAGAATATATGAGCTTTTTCCATTGAAATAATACCTTTCCAAAAGTGATCATCTGGCAATGTAGCTCATACCTGCACCACATATAATGTATTGTGATACAAAGTTCCGACAAATAATATTTTTTATTTTTTATTTTAATTATGTTGTTGTCTTACAGTGTTGGCACATCAAGTTGAGATAGTTGTGGCCAAAGATAGTCCTGCACAGAGTCTGGTTTTGGGTACCTAAACAACATTTATCAATTACTATCAAAACACCATAATGCAATCATTAATAATAAAAGTTGACACACAAAATATTAAATTCTAACTCTTCCAATTGATGGAACTCCTGTCCTTGTCCTTGTGGAAGTGGTTGAATTGGGACCCATCCGAGACGTACGGCAATCCGCCCGGCGTTCCTGTCAATCTAAAACCATTTAAAGTCAAAGTACTTTTTGTATTTCATCTTTATTCATAAAAAGAAAACGAATAGCATGCATAAAATGAAAGATCGACTACTAATAGCTTACCGGGAATGCCTTCTGTGATAGTGACAACAAGCGTACGCACTCAACGCTTTTTAGCCCGAGCCCAGGTATTCTCAACAGGTATTCTCTAAAACCAGTAACATAGAACATTTGGAAAAATGAATATATATATATACATATATATACTTAATTGGCCAAAACGAAAATAATGAATACTTTACACGTGTAGCTTGCTTTACCTGGCCGTGTTATCCGGTACACCTTTCATCCATTCAAGGTTAAGACGGCCGAGATTAGTCTCCAACATAGTGAGACAATTCTACAAGACAACAAATATGGTTGTGTGCTTGGTAAATCAAATTATTCCAAACTAAAAATTTGAATCACCCTATAAAAGATATAAAAGAAGAAGATAAAAAAGAAAACCTTTATTCTTGTGGCTAAATTATTGCTCATCCCTCGGTTTTTAATTGCCTTGGCTATTTCGTCAACTTTAGCCGCCTGAACTGCTTTCCAGTCTAAAGCATCCGATGAGTCATTATCATATGCATTATCACCAAACTCATCTTCCACCATATAACATTTCTTTAAAGCATCCCAGCCATCTTCACTCATCTTTCTTTTCCGTGTTATGAGCGCACGTTTTTCCATTCCATTTGTTCTGTTCTTCTTTATTTTCCAACTATGCATCCTCGTTAAGACCTCATCATTTTCTATTTTCCCTCCTTTTTCAACCTCTGAACACGAGTCTTTTGCACACACAGCTTTCCCCTTCAACGCACGATTTTTCCTTCCAAACTCCGCCGTTCTCGGCCTTTTCATTTTCCAACTGGGCAGCATCTCCTCATCTATTTTTACTTTTGATCTACTCGACCTCAGAACCATTTTGAAAGTTTCGTCTGGAGGAGAATGTACTTGGGCTGCCTTGATCGGATATTTAGACGCGAGTGATATGAAGGCAGAGCTGCTCAATATATGAAGAAGAAATGAAGATTATCAAGAAGAAAAAAAAAAAAAAAAAAAATGAATGAGTCATTGTTGTTGCCACCTTGAAAAAGTGTCCTTCACATTCTGTGTGAGGTACGCTCCCATTATAGAGTCCAACACCGAACCTTTCCACTTGCAAAATTTCATTTCTCCTGCAAACTTCCATCAACTTTATATATGCACTTATTTCCAAAACGATCTAATAAAAACTAAAGTAATTTGAAGAACAGTTAATTCAAAGTCACCTTGGATAGGCCGTATGCTGGAAACAAAAGATTCAACCCGCTCGAGTAAAGATTCACTTTCAGTCGGGTCCTTCCAAGAATCGAATTTTCCTGTCGAGATTTTTCGTTGCTTTATTTTCAAGACAGCCACCTTAACTCTTTTGGCCACAACTATTCCCTTTAGTTTCTCATGGCCTGTTGGCTTTTTCGCATATTTTTTTCTCATGTAGACCAAAACATTTTGAGGGACTGATGGCTTGTTAGAATATTTTTTCCTTGTATAGACCAAAACATTATGGGGGCCTTCACTTGACTTAGCAGAGGTTTCTGAGACTGATTTTGTCACAGCACCAACATATGGCAATTTAGAGCACAATAACCAAAAAACACAAGTTATCAAGAAAATGTAAAACAGAATGCCATTGAAAAACATTATGTATCAGGGGAATGCAAGCACAATATATTGTTTGTAAGAAAATAATAATCAGAAATTCAACATTCAATCACTTTCACTCCTTCAATTATATATAACATCATATCACATTTCATGTAATTATCACACTCTCATAAGTTACTGTAATTTTCACAGCAATATTTCTTATTATGATATCTCCCTAACTTTCTTGTGGAATCCTACACATATTTAGAGGTCATAACAAACATAAATTCAATCTTTCTTTTGTTTTTTCTTTCTTAAAAGATATTCATTTATGGGGCTTTGGACATTGTGGGAAAAATCTATTTTGCCTTATTCTAAACTCAAATGCAAATCCAGAAGAAAAATAAAAATAAAGTCAAAAAACCTGCATGCAAAGTTAGAAGGAAAACTGTTTCAAATCAATGACCAAAAACTCAAATTAGAAACAGGGGGAATTCCATTGTTATTTATTTTTTAGAAATTAAATAAAATAATTTGCTAAACTTAACCATTGATTCTGACACTTTATAAGTACTTTTAAACTCAAGCAAATCCAGAAGAAAAATAAAAAATAAAAAAAAAAGTCAGTAACCAGCATGCAAAGTTAGAAGGAAAACAGATTCAGATCAGTGACCAAAAACTCAAATTAGAAACAGGGGGAAGTCCATTATTATTTATTGTTTTAGAATTTAATAAAATAATTTGCTAAACTTAACCATTGACTCTGATACTTAGAAGTACACTTACATGCAAATTGCACCTCCTCAGGAATTTGGACCAACTGGCGGCTCTCCTCATTCTCTTCCATTTTACTGCCAAACTTAGATTCTTTTGCTCTAAAAAAAGATAGAATTGGGCAACCAAGAACAAGATTTGTAAATGCAAACTAAAAGCTAACTACAAAGCTTACATGAAATGAAATTTAGAAAGTGGCACATCACACAAACGGTGTATATATAAATAATATAACTTATTAAAAGAGTTGGCGTGGCATGAAATGAAATTTAGAAAGTGGCACATCACACAAACGGTGTATATAACTTATTAAAAGAGTTGACCATGTTTATTAATAACCATGAGTTTGAACATGACGTATTTAATTTGGCTAGATGCATGCATAAAAAGGCAAATTATGAAAATAATTTTAAATATTTAATTGAAAGTGGTAATATTAGTAAATAGTGTTATTCTTTGTAAAAAATGATATATAGCCAACCTTTTGTGGGAGTAAGAAATAATAGACATTTTGCTATGTACAATGACACAATTACCCATACTAGATGGTTTCCAGTATGGGTAATTGTGTTATTATACAGGACAAAATGATTATTATTTCATACTTTTATAAAAAGTGATTATATTTCATCTTTAGATTTGCTACTTGACTTTAAAACCAAGGCACTATAATTTAAATTACATAAATTGCATAGTAACTAATATAAAATGTGAATGTTGCATTTGTAAAATAAAAATATCAATTATTATAACTTCTAGCCATGTTTTGTATATATATGACCCTTCTTTAACTAAAACATGTGAATTATATCTATATATATATATATATAGGATAAGGTTCAAATGAGAATCAAATGCTAGTATGAGAACCGTGAGAACCGCTATTTTTAATTATACGTAGTGCTATGATGATTGTGTTTTAATGCTCTTTTTAATCATAATGTATTTGACTAAAAATAGCAATACAATTTATATTAGCATTTGTGAAAATAATAGCACAATGTAATATTAGCATCATACATAATTAAAAATAACATAAAATACAGTTCTCATGGTTCTCACACCAGAACTAATTTTTATTTGAACCAGCCCATATATATATAAATGTCTGATTATTTTTAAAATAGTAAATGTTTGCCTACAAAAAAATCTATTTATTATATCTGGAAACTAATTAATCAAATTATGGTAGAAAGTTGCAAAATTAATACACCCGATTTTGGTATAAAGTAGGCGATTTTATAGAATAAAGTGAGTGATTTTATTTTATGGTATAAACACTGCCCCAAATTTATCAACCACGTAAAATTTTTGGTGGTTCTATTTTTGTGGATTATCCGGAACTGATTGTGTTTTATTTGAGATAATGAATTTCTTTGTTGTTGTAGCTCCAACAGGAAATGGAAGCTGCAGTTTGAAAATGTTAAAAATTTTGGCAGAAAAAAAAGGATTTACATTATCTAATAGTAAAAGAATGCAAATAATAAAAGAAAAGAAAAAATGTTTATGGATATTTAAAACAAATAATTTATTTTACCATTTAGTTTTGGAAGAAAGGGTTATATAAAAGATGGTTTGTTCAAGAAATAACAGAGTTGTCTTGACCTTTGACTTCAAAACCACGTGTTGGTATTTTTGGCTATAGCTTTACAGAGAATTTTTTTTAGTCATGTTGAAATGGCTAACACAAATTATAGTCCTGTTTGGCAAAAAAAATCTTTTTTAGCCATTTTGACACTTAAAAAGGCAAAAATACCCTTACTACCTATTTTTCAAAAAAAAAAAAAAAAATTATCAATTTCTGGGTTCCAAAAATCGATTTCTGGGCTCCAGTGGATCCCAGAAATGATTTCTTGCTGGCTCCAAAAATCGTTTCTGGATCCCAGAAATCCCAGAAATAATTTCTGGGACCGAAAATCGATTTCTGGGACCCCAGAAATGATTTATGATCCCAGAAATGCCTTCAGAAACAATTTCTGGTCCAGAAATGGCAGAATCCCAGAAACGATTTATGGGTCCAAAATTTCAGAAATCGTTTTTGGACACCAGAAATCCCAAAAACAATTTTTGGAATTATTTCTGGATCCTAGAAAAACCAGAAATGATTTCTGGTACAAGAAAATCGATCCCAGAAATCGGTTCTGGTTCAAATTTTATTTGTTTTATTATATAAGACATTGAATCATATATAAAAGACATGTTTTTTTGACATTGTTTGTCACTGAAATACTGTTGTATTTTTTTTAACAGATGTCGTGTGAAAAGGTTCGAATTGTGCATAGCGGATTTTGGGATGAGAATGTTTATAAAAATGGACAGACAAAGATGAACTTTATGCGTTTGGGGAGTTTGTCGTATGAAGACTTTTTAAATAGCGTTCTTGACATTGTTTGTGGAGACAAATACACGTGTGAGTATCTATTTCACTTCTTGATGGCCAATGAAAATGGAGAGTTAGAAAAATGGAGAATTTCTTGTGAATATGACTTGCACAATTTGGCCGAATTGTTCCAAGTACCTACTATATATGTTGCAAGCCGAAAATCGTGGAATAAGTGGATTTTCTACTCAACAACCAACCAGTTTTCATGCTTTTGCAGGTAGACAATGAGGATTTTTTAACTTAGTTGTTGATCAAGGTCAACCATTTTATCCATATGATTACACAAAAATCGCACTCGTGCATTCCCAAGTAGAGATCAACTATAAGTTTACTTGATCCTAGACAAACTTATTAACTACTCACAAAAATGAGCTATTTGTTTGACCCTTGAAACTTTTAATTAGTTGAATAATAGAGCTAGTGAAAATTACTACTCCATTATATAAAATTGCCCAACATTTTATGACAACTTATTGTTTACTTCATTTGTACAGTTCAATGTTTACTCAGACCCATTCATCCACATACACAAAGCTCTACTACACAAGGCTTCTCAAAACCACAAACATCAGAAGACACACAAAGTCCAGTAAAACTCAAGCCCAAAACTTCTCCAGCAGGCTCCTGAAGAAGCTCGTTTTCGCCCATCCACTAGTCTCGAGTGTTTTTGCATGGCTAGGGGCATTTTTCACGTTGACCCTCTATCTGCCCAATTTTCTTGTGTACTAGGCCCTCGATAGTTTTTGCATCCACGGACTTCTCCGAAGCATCTCTCACGTAGAATACATCCACGGCTTGTTCACCCACAGTCGAGACTCCTGCCCTCGTGACAAAAAGCCTGTTCTCTCGTAAAATTCGCATGACTTCGGATAGGAGGTCTACACGAACCTTTGCACATAGTTCCAGGCTTAGGCCCTGTACTATATTTTTCGAACATGGAATTGCAATTCATAAGCATTTTGCGATTTTCTTTTTCTTTTTGAGGTCTCGTATAAATTCTATGTCTGGCTTTCTCGTAACCTTTTCAACAAAAAAATCTCTCACATAACACGGTAGTTTTTGCGAAATACAAAGTTACCCCTGATTTGTAGCCGATCTGTAAATGAATTAATTTGACTTCAGAATTACAAAAGATACGATTCACATGTCGTAAATGGCTCGTTTAGGTTTTCATTTTGTAAAACAAATAGCCCTTACTGACGATGCGATTTTGAAAACAAATGGATTTCAGATGAATATTTATATGAAAGAAAGATGAGAATTTTCTTCAACTACACTTTGTGAAAAATGAAGAAAAGTACAGTGGATCATTTTCATTTACCTCACTCACTCGTCATCTAATTGCTGCCTCGAGACGCTTGATGACCTTCTCGTTCTCTGCTTCCGTCTCTAGAGTGCACTCATCCATGTGACGTATGTAATATTCTTACGAAATTCGAAAACCACCCCAAATCACATAAAATAACCACTACATTGCAAATATTATGCAAGCAATCAAGAAAAGTAGTTTTCCAAGCTCTGTTCAAATAAAACAACGGTTCAAATATTTTCTATCTCATCTTGCTACTTATACTTGGGCAAACTCAATCTCCTTAGAATTTGTATTAACTTAACAATCCATGTGCAACTATTCTAACAAGAACCCACTTCATATTTTTTATATCGAAAAGAGAAAGAACACACAAGAAGATCTGCAACTATTCTAATGAACCCACTTCATATTTTTCATTTCGAAAAGAGAAAAAGAACACACAAGAAAATCTGCAACTATTCTAATGAACCCACTTCATATTTTTCATTTCGAAAAGAGAAAAAGAACACACAAGAAGATCTGCAACTATTCTAATGAACCCACTTCATAATTTTCATTTCGGAGAAAAAAAAAAGAACAAACAAGAAGATCTGAAAACGTACCTGCGAGGCGTAGGGCCCGTCAGACGAGATAGTTGTATGGAAAACAACATACTGCACGGCGGTAAGCGTGCACACACTATCAAACATAAGCTTCAACCTATCCTTACACTTCACGGTCACCACCGAATAATCCTTCTCCTTACACCTCTTGATAGGTTGAGGTAAGTCAATCTTTAAGCCAATGCAAATCAATGTGCTTTAAAATAGTATTTATTTTCTTACTTTTTCTTTAAGAAAGGATTATTCAAGTGCTAGCAAAAAGCACTAGTTGTAAGGGGAAGTACTTTGTTGTGTGTAAGGAAAAAAACGAGATTATGAAGTTGAGACTTGAGAGGATGAAGATATGAAGTCAAAAGTTCTATAAGTTGAAAGAGGATGTTTAGTAAATTAGTTGCAGGCATGTTTTAATTTCGTGTTTACAAGTCAAATTAAAAATCCAAAATATACTTACTTCCAATACAGAGGTAGACAATCGAAAACAATAAAACTGTGAAGGACTTAACTTTTTTTAATTCTTGCAGACATCCCTAGAAAAATTCAAACCCTTCTATCGACCAATTCAGAATGGTTTAAAAGTAGTAAAAATTTGTAAAAGCAAATCAACATTTATTCAGAAATAAAAAAATAGAACTGATACAACAGAGTGACAAATGATGGTATAGCAACATCAAAAGAAAAAAAAAAGGAAAGAAAAACAACAACAACAATAACATACAACATAGTCTTTATTCCTAAGCAAGTTGGGGTAGGCTAGAGATGAAACCCAAGAGAACCAATGGTAAGAGAAACACAAAAAGGGCTCAAAACACAAGGAAGAGATAAGAGCAAAAGAGCAAAAGTCACGGATTGTTAGGCTCCAAGCACTCCTATCCACCGCTAAATCCTTAGAGATATTCCAATCTTTAAGGTCCCTCTTAACCGACTCTTCCCAAGTGAGGTTAGACCGACCTCTACCTCTCTTTATATCATCGACCCGTTGTAGAATTCCCCTACGCACCGGTACATCAGGAGGCCTCCGTTGGACATGTCCGAACCACCTCAGCCGATGTTGAACCAATTTCTCCTCAATTGGAGCCACCCCGACCCTATCTCGAATATCCTCATTTCGGATTCTATCCCTTCTTGTGTGCCCGCAAAACCAACGCAACATACGCATCTCTGCTACACTTAGTTGTTGGACATGTTACCTTTTTGTAGGCCAACATTCAGCACCGTATAGCATCGCCGGGCGAATCGACGTCCTATAGAACTTACCTTTTAGCCTTTGTGGTACCCTCTTATCACAGAGAACGCCCGAAGCTTGACGCCATTTCAACCAACCGGCTGCAATTCTATGCCTAACATCTTCATTAATGTCGCCATCCTTTTGTAGCATCGATCCTACCGGAAAGTCTCCTTCTTGGCCACTACTTGCCCGTCAAGGCTAACGTCACCATCATCATGTGTAGCCATGCTGAAAGCGCACGTCATGTACTCGGTCTTCGTCCTACTAAGTCTGAAGCCTTTCGACTCTAACGTGTCCTTCCACAGCTCTAACTTCCTATTTACCCCGCCCTACTCTCGACAACTAGTACCACGTCATCAGCAGAGAGCATACACCAAGGGATATCACCTTGTATGTCCCTTGTGGCCTCATCCATCACCAAGGCAAATAAATAAGGGCTTAATGTTGACCCCTGGTGTACTCTTATTTTAATTGGGAAGTCGCTGGTATCGCCCCCACATGTTCTGACACACGCTATCGCATCCTTGTACATATCTTTGATGAAGATAATGTACTTAGATGGGACTTTGTGCTTTTCTAAGGCCCACCACATGACAGTCCTCGTTATTCTGTCGTAGGCCTTCTCAAGGTCGATAAAGACCATGTGCAAGTCTTTCTTTTGGTCCCTATATCTCTCCATCAACTGTCGGAGAGATATAGAGACCAAAAGAAGGATAGAAGCGCTATCCTTCTTAAATATTAACACTATCCTCATTTCTAAATATTACCAAGCTTTGTCCCAACATTTTGATATTTCCTAAATATTAACACTATCCTCATTTCTTCTCTCTCGAAACTTCGATCAACATTTTGATATTTCCCAATATTTCATTCTAATTTGTAAAACAATAAGAACTTGACACGTGTATTATGTCAAACTTCATGTCAAACTATTTTAGTGTAGTATTATTATCCTTAAAAATGAAGCATAACACCTTAAGCCATTGAAAACTATCATTCCCATAGCCCACCCTATCCTCAATTTCTAGAAACACTCAAAATTTTACTGCTTCAAATAAAAGTTAAAGAGTTCATTTATAGCACTCTAAATTTTACAGCTTCAAACAGAAATTCAAGAGTTCATTTAGCACTAATTTGAGACAATGTTAGGAATACTATTCAAGAGATCATATTTTGCACTATTTTGAGACAATGCCAGGAGAAAATATTCATCCAATTCTTGGTGCTACATATGATGAAGTTGAGCTCTATTCTCTACTCCCATACACACATTTTATTAAACATCACAGTTATATTCTGGCCAATCAATGATATACATACCACCATCAACCCTTAGGGTTTATCTCGAAACTCACTTCCGATTATAACTCGTGCTGTAAAGGATATGCTGCAAATTCTTGATTGTAAATCGCCAAAATTGTAGCGTTCTGCTAAAAGAATCCAAAAAAAGTGGCGACCACCAAAACTAAAAATAGAACCCCACCAATGTACCCAACCTGATTACAAAACAACACAACAATCACAAAGTCAACTAAAACTTGTCATATAGTATATGAAAAGGAGTTTATTTTTTCCTTTTTTTTCTTTTTTTTTTTTGGTTTTCTTCCCAATTTCTTACCAGTTTTTCGGAATGTATTTGGCGAGAAATGCTCCACCGAGTATGGCAATGGATGTTGCCAGCAGATGGCCCACAATGGCTCCAGGGGATTGGAAAGCCTTTTCGAAACCTGCCAGTGTACAAAACAAACAGAAATTACGGAAAAACCCAGTAAATGTTTGAAAAAATTATGAATACCCCATAATGTATTTACAAAACAAACAGAAATTACGATGAACCTCAATCAACGGTGACAGTTTTTCATTTACCCCAAAATTATCACGCATTATCCACCAACACTCCTACAAACAGATATTATTACTATGAAAAAGATATCACCTTTTCCTTTACGAGCTCTTCAGCTTCAGTGAATTCGTCAGACTCCTTGTTTTCGAGCTCTCCAGCTTTAGCTGCAGTAGACGGCAGGTCCCACGCATCTTTAATCGATTTAAGACCAAAAAACATCAAAAGGGTAACAGCTAAATATTCTCCGATCGGCAAAGCTGTCCAGGGATTAGCACACTGTCACGAATTTTCAAAACTAAAACTAAATAAACCAAACTTTTTATATTATCATCCTCAATCAATATTATTTCATCATATGAGCAGCGTACTTGTCTGAAACTGAGCAGGCACAGAATGAAATATCCGACCAATTATGACAGACAAGATAGTCATTAGTGATAGAGCACCCATTGATCGAAGAAGGACCTGCTCGCCAATTAACAAATAGTAAGACCACGATATTTTCTTTTGTTGATGCAATGCAAGCTAATATTTTGCATTTCTAGTGTAGTCAATGAAAACGAAATAAATAATAGAAAACTGAAAATTTATGCACGAAGTATTTAAGTTAATTATCCACTCTCGTAAGAGTAACAATGNCCTAATTTGAACCAAAAAGGGAGGTCGTCACTTTAGCTACCTGATTTCAGATTACGGTGAGGTCGTTCGGTCGTTCAGACGGCGTTCGGTCGAAGTCGTGAAGGGCGGCGTTGATTTCAGATTCCGGCGAGGTCATTCCGTCGTTCGGACGGCGTTCGGTCGAGGTCGTGAGGTCGTGAAGGGCGGCGTTCGGACAAGGTCATGAAGGGCGGCAAGAATTCTGGTGAATTTTTTGAAGATGAAGATGAATTTTTTGAAGATGAATTTTTTGAAGGTGGTCGTGAGGTTTCATAGCCGAGCGGGGGAGATGAAAATTTTGATTGTGAAATTAATCGAATTGCGAGGAAAGAATCTATACTTATATAAAAAGAATTACTATTTACTAAATATTGCAATCAAAACAAATTTCAAAATTTCTAAATAAGGAAGGGATAGAAGTTTAAACAAAATAGGGTTGCTTTAACAAACTTATAGGGAAAACAGAAAAAAAATAAAAATAAAAATAAAATCTTTAATTCAAATTCAATTGTACAATTTCCTAATAATTTTCATGCAAATCTTTAATTCAAATTCAAATGTTAACAATTTCTTAATAACTTTCCTACAAAATTGCCCGCATAAATAAATGTTAGACATGAAATTTAGTAGTATTCAAAAGTTAAGGAGTAATTCAAATTGTGAAGAATTTAAAATGGTACGAGTTTGCATCATTCATTTTAGTAAAAAAAAAACTTAAATGAATTTTATTAAAAAATTAACTTCATTTAATTAACTTGCACTAATTATACCGTCCGTGCAAAGAAAAAAAAAACACAATTATATTTATGCAATTAAAAAAAATGTATGCTACAACATTGGATATTAATCCATACATCATAGGTACTCACTTAATAAATCTTCACCAAATCATTTGTTGGAATAAGAAACTTAATAACAGAAAAAATAAAATTGGGACTATGTTTACTTGAAAGACTATCAACACGTGTACAGATTTTTAAATTCATTTTCAAATGGAAACTTTAAATTCGTACTCAAATTGAATTGAATAATATAATTTAATTAGAACTATAGGAGTTTCTTAGAAAAAAAACTATCAAGCAATTTGCATTGATTTTCAAAAAACAGATAAATACTGATTTCTAGAATTATGGGGATTGTTTACTTGATATAGATCATGACCACGTGTACAGATTTTAAAACCATCATGAAATTCAAATTGGAATAATATGATTTAATTAGAATTGTATGAGTTTGTTAAGAACAAAAACTCTCTGTGAGTTTGCATTGATTTCAAAAACAAATAAATACGGATTTTTTTTATAAAAAAATCATTTATTCGTATTTCATCATAAATCTCAAAGATGTGTACTTTGTTGATACGTGTTTGAATAAAAATCTTAATAACAACGAGATTTTAAAATCATTACATAAAATTGATAAATGAAGTATATGCAGCGTAGAATTGTTAAGTCTCCGTTTATTTTATACATTTGAATACAAATTTTGATAATGAAATTTTAAAATTATTATATAAAATTGATAAATGAAGCATATGCATAAAGCATGGAGTTATTAAGCCTCCGTTTATTTTATACTCAAATTGATGACGAAATAATTTTCGGTATCATCTCAATATTTATTTTATATATAATATGTAAATCTTCTCTCAATTTTAATATTTTAGACATAAATTTTTTTATGTCCTTTATATAAGATAATTTTATATTGTTACAGTAGACTATATAAAGTAAATTTTATCACATGTAACCCCACATCTTTAATTTATAATTATAGTTAATATTGCTTATCCTAATATTAAATTTATAATTATTATTAGTATTATTATTTTTTTTTTTTTGGTACAATGAAAGAGGCCATAAGCCTATATTAGGACTCGACGGGGATACGACACTCCAATAATATCATGCTCTAACCAAACTCCCAGAACCAAAGGCGGGGAACCTACTCGCTGAAGGTTGCGATTATTAGTATTATTTACCCGTGCATAGCACGGGCTACACACTAGTAAGCCAAAATTGAGGTAGGGATAATATAGTAAAAACACATACCAAAATAGTTAAAAAAAATGTTTTTTACCAAACATGACCAAAATTTGTGTTTTATAAATTTATATGGCTAAAAAGTGGTATTAACACATAGTTTTAACTAGTACAATACTCTTGCACTATACGGGTATTTAAATATATTAATATTTGTATAATTAAAATTAAAATGATTTATATTTTTATTGTAAAATTATGTATGATGAATATGCAAAAATAATAAATAACTAACAAAGTGATAACTATTCAAATGCTGTCCATATTTTTACATTAAATTTGCCAATAAAAGATATTTTTAATTATATTTTTAAAATTATAGTATAAAAATGATATTATTTACAACTTCTTATATTTGATTCGCTTTTTTTTAATTTATATTTATAGAATCAGTGCCTCATNAACGATAGAAATTCCATATAAAAAACACATAATTACAGACCAGAGAGCAGCTAAACAACTGAATAAGTCAGCTATTCAGCTGAATCTAGTTGGGAGGACTAACCCCAAAGTCAACAAGCCGAGGTAGCCTAGAACCAACCTAAACACAGTACACTAAACTCACCCACAATAATAGGAAGAAAAAACTCCCAACAGGAGAAAAACCTACTCCCAATAGGAGAATAATGGACTCCCAATAGGAGAATCCACAACAAAACAAACTCAAAAAACTAAAACCCACAAAACACAAAACACAACACACCCAACAAACAAAACTATACAGAATCTAGATGAAGCCCTTCCCACATCCGAAAAGAAAACCGAGAGCAACCCAACAGCGGAACAACTAGCCAACCACCAAAACGGGTCGGACCACGCTCCAAGACGACGCTCCAAAAACTGTCGAGCCCGCCTAACTGAAAGAGCCACCCGAAGACCTGATCCCGCACCCAGACGGTCTGCCCCAGCCCCGCACCGAAAAAAACCCCGACCAACCCCCACATAACATTGCCGCCCCGACCCCGGGCCCACACCACATGCTGAGAACAGAATTGAGAAACTCAAAATTATTATTTTTTAACTTTATGAAATACAAAATTATTTTATTATATTTTATTATGATATTATTTTATATTTACTATTTTGAATAACATAATAACATTTAATTTTATATATAATCTATTTAAATTGAGAAATAATATTTTATAATACTTTTTAAAATTTATTTTATGTAATTTTATCCAAAATTTATGGAAAAGACAATAAATGATTATTTTATGCTGTATTAATGAATTAGATTTTTATTATTTTATAAAATAATTTATAGTGTTATAACATATTTTCTAAATTGAGTTGATAAAAATTGATTTTATTTACAAATATAGATGAAATTACTTTCTATTTTATACAACATGGATATCAAATCGAAAATCGTTAAAATATGATATTTTTCGTAGATCATATACAAAAAAATAAAATACAAATAAAAAATTTATACAGTTTTAAAAATAAAAAGAATACATATTTATAATAATTAATATATGAATTAAATATAAAAGATCAGAGTAGTATATAGTAAACTAAGAAAAAATGAAAGCTAAAATAATTTATGGTAATTCTCAAACCTAATAGTCAAAACCAAACCTGAACATGTGTCAATACGAAGCACCAATTTATTCCAAATAAGCTTACGAAGCACACGAGCCTGCCATTTAGGTTCAGCGCATTCGGAAATTATATATAGGGGCGATTTAGTAATGTGAAAAGCAATTTTGCCTATGTAGATAATCTTGAAGTGAAATAGTAATATTTTAATACATGGGTTTTATATTCAGAAAAGTTACTTAGGGGGCAGTTTGATATGAGTTAAACTGCTTATGATTCAATTTAGTGAATTAAAGTGAATTAAAGTGAGTTATTTTGAATAAAGTAGATTTAAAATTAAATAATATTTAAAACGTGATGATTAAAGTTGATATGATAAAAAGTAAGAGAGAGGTTATAGGAAATGATCAGTAGTTAGAATTATATGAGTGGATGAATAATGAATTGAAGTTGATGTAATGTGTGAGAATGATTGATTGATATTATTTACTTGAAATAAAAACTAAAATCCCGCCTAAAAATTTTAAAATTGCTAAACTTGGTAATCTTTTTGAAAATTTTCGTAAAATCTCGCCTCTAGAAATTAATGAATCATACAAAATGATGGACATAAATGAGAAGGAAAATTATAGAAGAAAATATGGAAGTAAAAGTAATGATTGAATAATGAAAAAAATTAAACCATGAAGGGAAAGGAAATAGTATAACATAGTATAACCATGAAGATGACTTAGTAGTTTTGGGCCATTGGCTACCTTGACCTTCAAGAGTTTGACTGCGGTCAGCTGACACCCTAATGGCATGATAGGTAGGAAGGAATGACATGTGAATGGAATGATCATTCCTTACTCATTCCTAATCCGATGATTGGTATATTTTTTGGGAAGGAATGACCATTCCAATGGGAATGACAAAACCCATCTCCATAGGATTAACCATTTCATAGTAAATGGAAGGTTTTCTCATTCCCATGTGTGTAAGAATCAACTTTTCAAAAAATAAAATTAACAAATGATAATAGAAAATAAATATATAATATATATTATAAATCATGATTAAAATATATTAAATAAAACTATTTAAAAAAAAATTCAAATAAAAAAATTGAAAACTTACTTTTATTTACTGTTTAATTAAAAAATAAAATATATATTATTAAAAATATATTACTTTTTATTTTTAAATATTATTAAAAATATATTATTT